TCCTCGTCGTCCTCGCTGCTGTGGATCAACATGGTGGCGTCGGAGAGAGACTTCTTGTGGCCGAACCTCAGGCTCTCCGGCGGGGCCGTCTCTTCTGGGGCTGTTCTATCGGGGAAGACGCAGGGCTGGGAGCCGGCGGCCAGGGCCCGCGGGGCCACCTCCGCGGCGGAGGCGGACAGGGTCCTCTCCTTCAGGCGCAGGCCCTCGAAGCTGGGCGGCAGCCCCGCGATCTCGATGCTGTTCCTCTTGTGCAGGTGCGCGCGGCGGGCCAGGGTGAGGGGCTCGCTGACCTCCTGCAGGGAGTGGGCCACCGGCAGGCTGTCCTCCTGGAAGGTCTGCACCGAGTGGTGGACGCGCCGGGTGATCAGGTCCGGGTTGCTGCTGCTGCTGTAGAGGTGGTGGGACAGGTCAGGGGTGCTGTTGGCCGGCCGCGGGGCCTGGTAGGGGGGCGGCGGGCGGTAGACCTGGGTCCTCATGATGTTTGGGGCCGGGTAGTCCTGGGCCTGGAGCTGCACGTTGGTGAGCTCAGGCACGCTGACCGCCCCCACCACGGGCCGCCGCTCGGCGGGGTACGGGTAGGGGGACTGGCGGTGGAAGCTGTAGTTCAGGGTGAAGGGCGAGTGGGCCGACTGGGCCGAGGGGTAGTGCGCGTGCTCGCGGATCTCGGGCTGGCTGTAGACCAGCGCGTCGGGCCGGCTGTACGCGTACGAGTTGCCCAGGCTGAGGTTGCGCAGCGAGTGGCTCTGCCGCTCGGCGGCGTGGAGCGCCCCGCGGTTGAGCTGCTTCATCACCGTCTCGTAGTCCGGGGTGGGGCGGTAGGAGGGCGGGATCAGGGCGCTGTGCCGGTGCGAGGGGACGTAGTCCGGTCTCATGATGTCGCTGCCGGTGATGCTGGGGTTGGAGGACACGGGCGAGGGCTGCAGGCAGGGCGCCGCCGCGTTGTTCAAGGAGCTGGCGCTGTGTGCGCTGTACACGCTGCCGTTCCGCAGGCGGCCGCCGAGCTCCAGCTGGGCGCGATCCAGGCTCGTCTGCGAGTGGCAGTAGTACCCATTCTGGTTGGTCACGAAGAGGTTATCTGCAAAATACAGAAACATATATTTTTCTAAATATTGGAGAATGGAATTTTAAAAAATGGAGTCAATCAGGCCTCTTCCTACCGAAGACATGGAGGCCCCATGGCACTCCATGTGGCTTAGAAACACCAAGTGCCCCTGGCCCTCCGTGCCCACCCTCCTGGCTTCCTCAGCTACAGGATGGGATCAAGCTCTGGCCGATATTAAAGATGAGCCAAATCCAAGTTCAGAAACACGCACACACGTTGCTAAGCCACTCATGATAACCCAGACACTGACGCAACCCAAATGCCCTTGAGTACGGAGAAAGAAGTGATGCTGCCACTCGTCGGAATGCTACCCAGGCCAAGAAAAGAAAGGGGGTGGCACAGAAATGCACAGCGAAATGAGCAATCTGAAAAGGCCCCCGGCTACCCGAGTCCTACAACATGGCAGTGTGGAATGCAGGGAAACCGGGCCAGTAAAAGGACCCATGTTTGTGCTCCAGGTTCGAGGTGGTGGGGGACAGAGTGATAAGGAGATAGAAGTCGGGCCCTTTAGGGTAATGAAACTATTCTCTGTGCTACTGTAATGGGGGACGTATGACATTATACACTTGTCAAACTCCTTATGAAGATACAACACAAAGTGTGACCCCTGGTGTAAACTAAGGAACTCCGTGAACTATAATACACCACCTGTAATAAACGCACCACACTAAAGCGAGATGTTAAGAATAGGGCAGTGGGGGTGTAGGGGGATATATATATGATAGCCCTCTCTATTTCCTGCTCAATTTTTCTATAAACCTAAAATTGCTGTTTAAAATAATATTTTTAAAATCTTATCACTAAACATTGTATTCTTATGAAAGTCCCAACCATGTTCTCCTAGAAAGACAAAACAGGTCTTCTGGACTTCTTCGAGAAAGAGTAGGCTTTCTACTGCGGTAAGGACTTACCGCAAGGGCAGCTTTACCCTGTCCTATAACATAAGGTTGCTCTGAGTCAGAATCGACTTGATGGCAGTAAGTTTGTGGTTTTCTAGCTATCGGGCACTGGAGCCAAATACACTGCTTGAGGCACCAGGCCACTGCCTGCCATCTCTCCCTCCCTTGTTGATGTCTGTAAACGCTTCTTTGAAGAACACTCTAGATTGTGTGCATGGGCTCCTCTCCTATGAGGAGAGGGTGGGTAGCAGGGTCTGAGCTCTTCCAGGCCTACAGTATCCCCAGCAGCTGCACATGCTATGCCTTGTCCCTCAGCTGGGAGTTCAATCAAGTTAGTGGTAAAGTGCCTGCATGTGTGTGTGTGTGTGTGTGTGTGTGTGTGTGTGTGTACGTGTGGGTGTGCATGCGCACGAGTGCATGTATGAGCATGTGTGGTCCTGCTAGGGGTTGGCAGGGGCAGGTGAGTTCCAGCTGACCTGCGGCTCACTGGGAACCCTGCTGCCTTGAGCGCCAGCTCTAAGCTCAAAGACAATGAGTATCAAGTCCTCCGGAGGACAGGGCCTTTGAATCACCAGCTTTTTGTGGTTCAAAAACTCCACGATATGGTGAGTCACCAGTGACTATCAAAGAGAGAGAGCACGTTGGGTGAGGGACACACACAGCCACTCCAAGAAATGTTTTGAGGGGCAGGTGGGTAGGGTGGGCACATCTACCTTTCAGGAGGAGTCAGGTACGTACGCCTACTCCCGTCCCATCGTTCATGGTGGAGAGCCATGTAACAGGAATGGTCACGGAGAGTGAATAGAGGGTTCAGGGCCAGTGTCATGTATATGGTCTCCCCCAACCACCCAACCAAGCCCATTCCGGGAGGAGGGCCCCCAGCCCAAGCCACTGAGGGAGGCCGACATGCAGCAGAGCCCTGCTGCCAGCATACAATGACCAGAAGCAAGGTGACCTGGGCCAGAAGCAAGCTTGGCTGCAGTGTGCTCTCAAAGCCTAAGGTCACCTACCCCAACCAGTAGCAAGTGGACAGGAGGGTGCAGGGGACAAGGCATCCTGGGAGCAAGAGCCCAGGCCCAGGCTGGCTCCAGCAGCAGGCAGCTACAGAGCAGCCAAAGAACAGCAGGGAGGAGGTGGGAAAAGCAGGACGAGAGAAGAGTCCTGCTCCGAGCAGCGGCTCTATGAGCAGAATAAGGAATGGTGCTGCAGGCCCGGACATGAGGGCAGGAGTTCGCCGGCAGGCATCTGCCTACTAGAGGCCCGGGGAGTGGAGATTAGAGATTGGATCAGGAACGGAAGGATGGAGCAGGTGGCCTGCAAGAGATGGTATGTGAAGGGAGGAAAGGGGCCACGGGACTTGTAACCTGAGGGCAGAGACACACACAAGCAAATTTACTCTCAGTTTTGAATCCGGGCAGGCAGGAGAGTGACTTCATTCTAAAATACAGGCACGAGGGAAGGGCAGGCAGACTTATGGGGCAGAGGGATAAGTTCAGATTCATTGTTTATTACACTTCCCAGTCTGAGCTCTGGTGCTAAACCCTGGGCACTTCCCAGACACCAGGGACTCATTCCCACCCTGGGCATAACACGCAGTGGCTCCCTCATCACGGCTGCTGGGACATGCGCACGAGACAGCAGTCAGCCCCGAGGGAAGCTGGAACTCGGGGGATTTGGACCAAAGGGCCAAGGCAGCTTGCCAAGGGAAGGGAGGTGGTCATGGGCAGCCCCCTGGGACCCAGCGAAGGGAAAGGTGCAGAGGCAGAAGGCAGGGAGGACCCAGTGAACTAAGAGGAGCATCCCTGGGAGGAGCTTGGATGCTGCAAGACCCTCCGAGAGGGCAGCTTCAGCGGGGCAGCCCGGGCAGAGGATGCGCTCTCGGTAGTCAGCAAGCAGAAGCCCAAGGAGACATTCTTCTAAGAAGGTACTATAGAAGAGGAGACAATAACTCAGCCACGGGACAGAGACAAAGGACAATAGAGCGCGAGGGTGTTTTCAGACTCAGGGAAGAGCGAGCAGCAAGGCAGAGTTGGAAAGGCAGGCGGGAGAGGAAGGGGCTGGGTCGCAAGGACAAGACAAGGGCCCCGGACAAGGACAAGGACGTGAGGTGAGTGGGGAGGCAGCACACATCCCGAGGGGAGTCCTCTTGGAAGCCACACCCCAACACACACTGCTCCCAGAGTGCCTACCTCCCCGCGCGGAAGTGCTCATGTTGACACTAGACACCTGGGACAAACAGTGCCCCCACAACCCACCTTCCAGTCCCTCTGCTCCGCGCGGCCCAGGAGGGTCCTACTGACAGTCCGTTGGCCGGCTCTGCTCTCCACACTCCCCAGCACAGAGTGTGGGCCATGGCACTCACCGACCCTCGACACACCGACCCTGCCCACCACCACGTCTGCGGGATCCACCATCTCTCAAAGGCCATTTCACCTTCTTCCAGAGGCTCCGCTGCCTCCCCAGCAGGACAGGAGCTTCTCTTGCCCAGACAGGCACAGCAATCTCTTGCTCCCTCTCCAAACCAATCATGCCCTTTGTCTTCAGGTTATTTGTGTTCCTGTCTTATCCCCACCTAAGATCCTAAGCTTCTTAGCATGCAGAATTACCCACCAGATGAATCTCCTGGGCCTTCAGTACAGCCTGGATCCAGAGGAGAGGGTTAACTGTCCACTGGACAGAACCACAAATGGAAGCATCAGAGGGCTTTCCCTACCAGCAGCTCCCCACACTAGTCCCTTGGAAATGGCAGCAGTGAGATGTTTAGTCCTTTATGGTCTCAGCCGAGGGAAAACTGATCAACCATCTTGGCCAGAAAGCAAGGACACACTCTCCCAGTCTAAGGGGCTGTACGAGAATGACAATTCTCGCTGATCAAAACTGGGATCATCTGAATGTCAAAATCACTACTGTTATCGTCCACACCCCCAAGAGAGGGAAAGTACTGGCTTCTGGGCATCCAGGATGGCGGGAATCATGACAGTGGCTTCAGGTGTGACTTCTGCCAGGAACTATCCTGGCTCAGTCTCTCCCAGTGGTCATAGACCGAGCAATAGTACAAATTGAATGAGGCATTTCAGAAAGTGTACTTTACCTTGGGAAGAAGTATATGGTTCTGTATAGTGTCCATTATAATGCAGCTGGGGTGGGGGGGGCATCCCGTAAGGCTGGGGCTTAGGCTAGGAAATGGAAGAATTGGAAACGGGGTTAGAACACATTGCCCCATAGAGGTGCATCATGTAATATACATAAAGCAATTCTCCGCTGGTTTCTTTCTCTTCATCTGAAAGCTTCGGAAGGGGTTCCGTTCATGTAGAAAGTAAATATTAAGATGCTATAGCCCTTAAAGACTAGAGGAACCCGTGACTATTGCCCTAAATCATCCATCTAATGCAGAGGTCCTCAAACTTTTTAAACAGGGGGCCAGTTCACTGTCCCTCAGACCGTTGGAGGGCCGGACTATAGTTTAAATAAAAAACTATGAACAAATTCCTATGGGGCCGGGACAAGTCGGCTGCTAAGCAGGACAGGTAGCAGTGGCAAAAACACCCCGCAGGCCGGATAAATGTCCTTGGCGGGCTGCATGTGGCCCATGGGCCGTAGTTTGAGGACCCCTGATCTAATGTGACAGTGAGGCCATTCCCCAGGTCAGCCTCTCAACCAAATAATGACACTAGCACCCGTGAGGAATGTGCCCTCCACGCTCTGAGGCCGCAGGAGAAAGATTGGTGGAAGTATCACTGAATGGAAACTGGTAGGTGGGGCTTTCTAGTCTCGGCAAGGGTGACGGTCCCGGAAACTCACAGAGCAGTTCTACCCTGTCCTGTAAGGTCGCTGTGAGTCGGCATCGACTCCAGGGCAGGGAGCTTGGTTTTTTTGGTTTATGTGTCATTTTTGTGACTCCTGCCAAAGCCCTGGGAGGGAGCAGGATTAGAAAAAGCTTACATGTGGTATATTTAATTTAATTAGACCATGTTACACAGTATGTTAAATGCCTGCTAACATTTTATTACTCTTGGCTAAGTAGTCAAGAGTAAAATTTTTAATATTAGGTTGGATCTAATATATAAGTGCATGCAATATGATACTATAAACATTAGATTCAAGCAATAGAAAACTCTCATTTCTTTGACTGAAAATTATCAGATACTGGCACATTTTGTTGGTCCAAGCTCAACATTTAAACCTATTTCAAGGCACGTTATAGGAAGGGCCATGCTTCACCCAGAGAAGCCATCATGGTTCCCCTTCTTTCTTACCAGCGACATCCTTGACGAAGACCTCCTCCTAATTGGGTTCACTGTCACAGGCTGTGTCTGCCTAGAACACAGGGCATTTCTTTCAGAAAAGCTTGTTATACAACTACACAATCGTTAAAGTTCTACCAATATAAATTAAGGTCTTAAAAAAATCGAACATTTTGAAGCAGAAAATAAAAAATAATTACAGGTTACACAAACTAAAGGGAGAGTCAGTGGGCCCGCTTGGGACCTCGGTGTCTTCCTGCAGCCCGAGACCACAGTCTGGGCGTGAGCCTCCTGCAGAGTGTCGCTGCACCAGAGGGGGCAAGGCGTGTGCGACCCAATGCTAACAGGACCAGCGAGAAGTGCCCTACGAGAGTTGGCAAGGCTGCAAGTCTTTACAGAGAAAGGCCGCCACATCTTTCTCCTGCAGAGCAGCTGGTCGGGTTGAACCACCAACGTTTTGGTCAGCCACTGAGTGCTTAACCACTGAGGGGGCCATTAGCAGTGGGGGATCAGAACATGGGGTTAGATCACCCACAAACTCAGCCCAGGAGAAGCACAGTCTGTGGGTGTGCATGTGTCCTGGGGCCGAGAATGGCCCTGAAAACCTCCCGGAAGTGTCCGTGGAGGGACCACCAACCACCAGCCTGGATCTTAACATGACAGACGCCACCTTTCATCGAAAGCCAGTTAAGTACCGATTACAAACATGAAGGAGAGATAGGTTTGTAATTTAATAACTTCAGGACTTATAGTTCCTCGAAGGAATTTCAAGAACCTGAGAAAGTAGAAATTTTGGTTCATTGAGCCTGTGGCAACACCACTCTGCACTTGTTTATATGAAACTTCTCTCTGCAATGACTTGCGTGCCAAACCAAGATAGAGCAACGCAAACCAGGTTGACCTTCCCAACCTGGACAGCTATACAGTGTAGGGGAAACAACAACTGTTTTCAGACACTGGTTATCAGGCTACACAGAACAGTGTGCCCCGAAGAAGGAGCAGCCAGCGAGGGGAGCCCTCAAATAACTGCCCGCCTGTGTTATGTGCTGCTGGAAGCGTTTCCAGTCTGAAGCAAAGGGGCTGGGCTTTGCTTCCCAGAAGGCTGCTGGGTCCTGCCTAAAACAGTGCTGAAAATGCAAGCTCCCATGTGTCCCTACTGTGTCCGAGTGAGTCAACCAGAAGCCAGGACAAAGGTAAAATCATTTAAAGGAAACAAGTATACCTGATGACCAATAAGGTAAAATACACAGTATTTAGAACCCAATAAAACGCAACCAGATATACAAAGAAACAGGAAAGCACAACCTATAATAAGGAGAAAACTCAGTTCAAATCAATCACAAAATTACACTGGTAATAAGAACCTTAAAGCAATCACTATGCTCAATTAAATGAAACACATACAATAAGGAGAGACACGAAAGATAGAATAAGACCCAAACCCAACTTGTAGAAAGTAGAAATACAAGTTCTGATATAAATATATACATATACCAGACAGAATTAACGACAGTGATGAAGAAAGCATCAGTGAAAGTGAGGTCATGAAGATGGGAACCATACAAAACGAACCAGAGTTTTTAAAAAAATTACCAAATTGAACAGGCCAACTGTGTGCTGTAGAAAAACTTCAGGGACCCTTATAAAAACGTAACTAAAGTTCTGAAAAGGGTAGAGGAAGGAGGAAGAACAAAAACATTTGAAGAAATAAGATTGGGAAAGTTCCCAAATCTGATGTAACCTCTTACCTAATCTAAAAAAAATTTTAAAAAAGGATAAAACTGTCCGCTGTAGGGAGAATATCATAAAAGTGGCCGCTGAAATAGAGAGTGACGCTGAGAAACAGAAAGCGCCAGGGAAGGCTTGTCAACATAAACCAGAACCGGTGGATCCACGTTGGAAAGCACAGAGTACTGGGGAGGAAACCGTCCAAAACGGACGATCTGCTCTGAACACCACCACCTGATTCACGACGAAAGTTCAAAGACAAGGCTGTCAATCTGTGAGTCAAAACACAGGCAAATTAAAGACTTTTTCAGACATGTCACGTTCCAGCACGTAAAGCCCTAAACTTCAAAAAAGTACCCCCGGAACGTCCTCTGAGGAGAAGGAAGCGGGACCAGATAACTGGGTCCACACAAAGGAAGAGAGAGTTCTGGAAAGGGTCACCATGTAAGAGACTTAACTATGGCCGTGTATAATATGTGGACTTTATCTCAAGAAAACCACGGAAGCACGGACAACTGAAAAGTGGGTGAAAGGAGACATCGGTCAGTGTAAGACATGGAAAAATAATAATAATTTATAGATTATCAAGGGTTCATGAGGGAGGGGGAGTAAAGGGGGAGGAAATGAGGAGCTGTTCAGTAGAAAGAAAATGTTTTGAAAATGATGATGGCAACAAATGTACAAATATGCTTGACACAATGGATGTATGATTGTGATAAGAGCTGTATGAGCCCCCAATAAAATGATTTTTTTTAATTAAAAAAGAAAACTACTGGGGAAAAAAAAAGAAACCAAAGTTACTGTGGATGAAGGAAGAAGAGTTTTTGCTTACAGGTCATTGGATCTATGCCAGTGGTGGTGGGATAATTCGGAAAAAGGCTATCAATAATGGTTGCATAACATGAAGAGTATAATTACAGGTAAAAGTGGTTGAATGGAGAATGTTTTGCTGTGTTTATTTCTGCCACAATTTTTAAAAAGTGCCAATAAAACTGTAAGATATGTGTGTGTGTATGTATGTATATGGGCATTTTTTACTTCGACAATCCTTTAGATATATAATCTTGCACTCCTTCGATGGCACACAGCAACTATAAACCCCACGTACATGTGTAGGCGTTGGACTGCTAGCTGCAAGACCAGCAGTTTAAAATCACCAGCACCACCCCCACTGTCCACTCCCATAAAGAGGCAATTCTACCCCGTCCTGTAGGCAAAAAGACTGGTGGCTCTGCCCCTGTGGTAGCCTAGAAAACCTGAGGGGCAGGTCCTGTCTGTCCATTGGGTCGCAGTGCATTGGAATCGACCAGGGAAGCACACAACAGTAACCAACAACCTTAATTGCCCATACGTCTTCATTTTTTTTTTCGAGTTGTTCTCATATTTTTAAGTGTACAGTTATCAGAAATACTAGTGGCAGTACTGTGCTTAGTAATAGGAACAAGTGATGACATGGCGGTCTATATA